TGACTTTAATGTGCAAGCCTCATACATTGATAATGTTGCAACTCTTCACCTGTTGCAAACAGAGATGAGTCACACTGGGCAGTACTCTTGCACTGCTACCAATCCTGTTGGAACGGCCACATCTAGTGCCAGACTCACAGTCTCAGGTTTGTGTAATACTGACACTTTTGCTTCTGTCTTTATCTGCTGCCTACTTCTTTCTTAACCCCGGCAATTTATGGCTTTAGAGCTGCATGCGGTTCTTTAAAAAATAAAAACAAAGTCTTTAAGTGAAGGTATATTGGAGGGGTAAAAGAGGTACTAGGATAACCAGTGTTCGAAAGGGGGCAATGGCATGTAAAGATTTTTGTGGGACAAAAGGACTCCCTAGAGATGCCCGAAAGAAAGGAAATGATATACGGTTGCCAGAATTCCAAGTGAGAACCCACTCATTGATTTATATCAGTGCACTAAAACAATTTTGCAGGGTACTTCTGTCTATATTTGTTACCTAATACATGATCTCATGTATGCTACTTCCTAATAAAGGCGTCCCACAACAACCCATATTTGAGCTAAAGAAGCTTTATGGATTATTAATCGGCATGCCTATTTTCAGAAATATTAAGTTGTATATTTTCAGTTATAAAAATGGACTTTTCTTATATTGGCTCTTTGTTGATCTCTTGTTCTGAATTTTGGCTCTTTAATTATGAAACATTGCTGCTGATCCTTGTCCTAAAGAAATATTTACAGTATGTATTAAAAAGGGAAGAAAAATCAATCAGCATTCTACTCTTCCTTTAAATCCTCAGAACCTAAACAAGCTCCCTTGTTTGATATCACACCGGAATCCAAAGATGTTCCAGTTGGAGAAAGTGTTGACTTTGAGTGTCATGTGACTGGAGCCCAACCAATACATGTTTCCTGGGCAAAAGATGGCCGAGAGATCCGTACAGGAGGGAACTATGCAATTACATTTGCAGCAAACACAGCCTGTTTAAGGATTATGAGAGTAGGCAAAGGAGACTCTGGTCAATATACCTGCCAAGCTAGCAATGATGTTGGAAAAGACTTTTGCTCTGCTCAGCTTAACGTGAAAGGTATTGAAATTTAGCTGGCCTTATTTCCATTTCTTACTCACATTGAAGAGGACATCACATTTCTCAAAGTTTCTGTTTCAAACCCATCTTTGTTTCCAAATGGTTGACGTTAACCAGACCGCTTCCAAAGGAAGCATATCTTGT